CACCACCTTATGCATCTTCTAAACTGAATCCTGAAATTGATATATTAGTATGTTTGTTGCTGGTTTAATATTTTATTTAAATGAATCGAGTTGATTTTTTGTTTTATTTTAAAAAAATAAAAGTTTCGTCAAGATACACCTTCTCCTACATCCTTGGCTGGACCATGGTCTGTATCTGGCCGCGCTAAACGAAAAGGTAAAATACAAGCATTTTATTTGTCACTTTTAAATATTGCTTTTAATATAAAATTAAAATTGTTTGTCTATTAATAAAATTTTAATAGCTTCAGATGATAGATTTGAACCATATTTTAATCCTAAAAGACGTGCAGTATCACCAAGTTTAGTTGGTAACTTACCAATTGCAACAATTGTACCATCTCCAGCAAATAACACAAATAATAGCAATAGAATTAGCAATAGCAATATTAATACCAATCCTAATGTGGTTGGTTTATTGTCGTCTTCAGGGTTAACAGCAAAGGGAAATCTAAGAGGGAATAGTAATTTAGTGAATATACATGATGCCAATGGAAGTTTTAGTCGATTAAATTTAAATAGTGAGTAAGTGGTTAAATTTGAAATCAAATTTAGTTTCAAAAGTAAAAAAATTTTTTATTAAAAATTATAATGATTAATTAAAAATTAAATTAAATTAAATAAAAATTATAATAATGATATAGATAATGAAAAAGAATAAATAGATAGATAGACAGATACGTGGAAACTTGATCGTAAATTATTAATAGTCTGATTACTTTTACCTTAAATGAATCACCATTGGATTCACTTGGTAACTTGCAGATTTTATTACCACTCATTATATTATTATTAATCTACCATCAACACCGTCAAAATTCTCTATATCATTTACCAACAAAGTTCGTAAAACCTTGCAATGCATTTCTGAGTTCTTCATTATCACATTCACCTATTAAACTTTCTACGTCATCCTGTTGACATTTGGGGGAAATGAACCATACTCGATTTAAAACAAGATCTGCATTTTGAAACTTTAAAGAAAAAATATTTCGGAATTTACCATATAACCAAAAAAATTTCTACACGGAGAATTGCATCTAATGGTGTTATTAATTCAAAACTGCATTTTTGTTTTGTTTTCATTGAAAAGGATCCATTTTGGCACATTCTTCATCCATTTGTGGATAATAATCAGCTAAATTGATAATCTCATCGCCTTCATCATTAATCATTATAAACTGCGCGAGTTAATAGCATTTTATTGTGGAAGTAATGGAAATAACAGATGATAATGAGTTCGTTGAAAATGAAGATTTGGGAGTTTGTGAAGAAAGAACTTCAGATTCAGTTTTTTGTGTTTTCTTTATAATATGAATGGGAATCAATAAAAGTTATAATCCCTCACAACTACACACAGGTTGAGTTAAATGAAATTGGGAATAATAAATGCAAGTTTTCAAAAATAAACAAATATGAATCAGAATAAAAAGAGTGAGCCTACCAGGTGCTTATGGCAGGATTAATTAATGATCAAATTTTACTCATTAGTAAAAACTATAAATATATAAAATAATAATTTGTCTCTCAACTAAATATCCACATTTTATATCCAAGAAAATAAATAGCATTAATATTATACAAATTTGAGATCATTCATTACATACCAATACATCAAGTGTGCCTCTTACCGGCCCCCTTTTTAGTATATATAATAATAATAATTACAAGGTAGTCATTTTTCTATCCAATCAAATAAAGAACGGGGTTTTGAATGTAGTTCCTAACCACGCGACACAACGAACAAGTGAAAATTAGCCAATCTAAAGGGATTTCACACCCAAATACTGAACTTTTTAACACAATAAATATTCTATATCATTGAAATTGAAATATACAATTATGTAAAATATGGAGCAACTAAGTGACTTTGATGTTAATTTTATAATGACAATAAAAATGATTTCATTCAACGTATAATTTGAGAGTTGAATATGTTGAATATAAAAAAAATTTTGTATGTTATACATGTGAATGTATGCATAACGAACGATTCAATTTATATTAAGAATTCTCTACCTACGATTATTATTATATAAATTAATTAATGAATGTATATATATATATATACACACACATAACATAATAATTTTGATTTCTTATTACCACCATAACATCAATGGAATCGCCATTTTCCATATCCAACTAATTATTTAGGAAAAGAAGATATAAGATTCCAATAAATAATGAAATAATTGATTCTTTTAAGAAAGATTCAAATACATACATCTGCAGGCGTATTATGGCTTTGTATACGATCACCATCATAAAGAAAATGAAGATTTTCCTTGTATATCACAATGAGCATCCATAAGTTTTTTTAATTGTGTTGTTCTTTTAATCCTGAAAAATACTTCATTATGATCCGATAATGATAAAAAAAGCAATTTATAATTAGCATGCAATATAATCAAATATAAAATAATAGACGCTAATACACATCATTTTTAATAAGCTTATCTTTTTACTCGTGTTCTTATTCATAACTCTTTTAGTTTAGCATAGCATATACAACAAAGGTAACTTACGCTTCCAACAACTTTGATATTAATATGTTCGTCACTTTGTTTGATGTCACTATCATTATTTTTTTATTTTTTTATCATTGTTGTTGTTATTTTTTCTTCAGTAGGTGGTTGAGTTGAGCGAAACTGTTGTTGTTCTGACATGTTTGTTATTTATAATTTCAATATACAAAAAAAGGGATTTTACTATTACTCTTACACGAAACTAATCAGGGAGGTGCCATAAATCTCATGATTAAGATCTCGGAACCTAATAAATTTTGTATGGCCTTTAAAAGCATTACTTTCTGCCTGTTATTGCATAGAACAGGTTTCCCTAGAGACTAAAATGATGTATATATTAATGTATACATACACTCACTGAATGGAGTTTCTCTACCTAATTTCACATATAGTGTGTGTGGTCTAAAAACCTTCCACTTTTTAAAAAAATAGCTTTGTTAGTGGACTCTAGCTTTAATGTAATGGAGAGATTTTGTTGTTAAATTGCTTCCATCTATGAATCGGTTGAAAAGTAAATTCACTAGGAAACTTATAAAAAAAATAAACCGTTAAAGTCGAGGCCTAAAATCTTAGGTACACGCACTTTTGACAGTTTGCATTTTTGATTATCATCAAAGTTATTTATTAGTGGGTATTTCTATATATATTAATAATGACGATAACCAATAAACATTTTCGAAGCCATTTATTATTCCAAAGGCGACTCTTTTAAAATTATCCAGAATTCAAATTATTTCATATTGGTATATATTTCGGACCGAGTCAAACCAAAGGTTTGAGTGAAACGAGAAACGAATCAAAAATTAGATGTTTCGAATTCCATTGATTCGCTCGGAGCCTTAGTTTTCAACACTTGGTATCAGATATTAAACCTATTTTAAGAATTTATTTTAAGAAACTACCAGGCACACAGAAATTTCAACATTTTCTTTTGAAGCGTCTGATCCTAATGTTGTCAAAACTCGAGAGGTTACCAACGGGATTTGACCGAATTCAATCTATTGAAAACTAGGAAAGCAGACATCTCTGAAGTTAAAGCTTTATTTATTTAACGTCCCTCCTTTGGAGTACAAGAGGCAAGGGTACATATACGAGTTATTGCATGCGGAACATACAATAATGGAAATTTTTAGCATGTCATTTCATAGGCAGACATATAATACAAAATTTTATGAACGTATCAGAACTTTTCTCTTGTTAATTATCATTAATAGTTATACATACACATATACTCCAAAATTCAGATTCAACTTGCCACAGATTTTCTTTCGACTGTACCATCGGGAGAGGATACATATCTTTGGCTAGGAGACAACTATTCATATTTTTTTTTACGTTGGAGCAATTTCTTTGGCTGTTAATTTGGATGTACCAGTTGTAACTTTGGTGAATGATCATTCTGACCATATTTATTATACCAATTGGATTTTTCTGTTTTACCTACTAAATATGACAGCCAAATTTAAAGGTATATTTTTTTTTTATTTAATTCAACAATTTTATGTTTTTTATATTATTACAAAGATAATTCGATTTTTTTATATAGGGTATATAGATATAAAAACATCCCTAACCTTGAATCTCAAAATTCTATGATACAGATAAAATTGAAGCTTAAGTCTTAAGCTTTGATTCTATCATTCTGCTTTTTCTTTAACTCTCCCAGCTCAACTTTCAAAGATTATTAGATTAATATTTTCCTTTCATTCCAACTATATTGATCAATTAAGGATGAACTTCTACTTGGAATGTTCAAATTTAAATGATTCACCATCAATACTAATAATATAAATAACCAATATGATTTTTAATCTAAAAGCTTTAACTTTACAACATTTAACCTGTAATTTTGACATATAATCAATTTGATGAATGTGTGTTTAAAAACAATGAATTAAATAAATACTTATATATTTTCATTTTGATAATCTACGCTTTAATCAAAATGTCCACACTAAAAAGAACATCAGGAGCATTCTTCTTGTTGACAACATCCCATTTTATAAACATTAAATTTAATAGACCATCACCAGATAAAGCCAAAGAGAACTTTACTAGCAAAAATGACATAAATAAATCATCTCTGATTATTTTCCAATATTTAGATGTGTCATTATTACACTTCCATATTTTATCAACTATGATGATGATAGCTGCAGTGTTGGTGGTGGTAATTTATAAGAATTTTGATGATTTGATTATCTGCTTTGTCTTTACTGCAATTTTAATGGTGAATTCACACTTATATCTACAGCCTTGTAGAATTATTTGCGTCAAATCAACAAAGATTGCTCATCCATCTATTAATATGCTAATATTGTTTAAGTATTTTTTTTTTAAAAATCTTCCCAAATAATAATATATATTCCATATTTATTTTGATTAAAAAAAAAGCCACAATGTCTCATATTTTCGGTTCCTAAACTGCAATCTTCAACTATTCCGAACATCTTTTTTACCCAACTGAACAAACATCAATGTTTCATTATCTGCCAAATAATAAATAGTAGATAATAGATATATTATATACATGAAACAAATTTAATTGTTAATAATTTTATTAAAAGATTTATTACCTTTAATAACAATAAGAGCAGAATATGCAGAATCTAAACCTAACGATTCATCATGTTAAAGCATTACCATTGCCTTCAATAAATAGATACCAGGACTTACACCAATAGGAATATCTTTATAATTTTTATATCCCAAAAGATCGTTAATAGCTTCGTAAACAGTTCCATTAACACTTGCAGTAGCATCATATGATCCTAATTCAAGTTTTTGAATAATTTCATAGTTTTTTAAACCACTGAAAGGATTCACAAAACTTAAAATGGTTTGATTTTTTAATATATTAATTACAAGCATTATTTTCTTAAAAGGTATATATTGTTATTGTTGTTTATCTGATAGCACCATCAATAGTATCAGACCATGATTTTATAATTGTGTGGAATCTTCTTCTGGTTCAAAAATAAAATTTCAATTAATAATGATTTTGTTTTTTGTAATCACGGCTTTGATGATAATGCGAGGCTTTTCATCCAAAAATAAATCAAGAATGGATAGATAAACAATCATTATTCTCCAAGAAAATATCCAATCTAAAAACTAAAATATTAAAATATTAAAATATTAAAATAATAATATAAATAATATAAATAAAGAATTATCTTGCCAGTTTTAATTTTCTTTCCAAAATGAAATTATTATTTTGGTAAAATATTTTAAAAAAGGAATAAAAAAAAAACAATGATTTATTATTGATTTGTTAGTTTTACAAACAAACAAATAAATAAACATATAAATAAAATTATAATTGAATAAGTAAAAAATATATTTTTTAATTTTATCCAAATTTTTAAAAATTTTATTTATTAGATAATATGTTTATGTATATTTATATATTTAAAGGCTATATTAACAAATTGCTAAATTAACAGCTAGAAAATAAAACTAATCATTGTAAAAAAAAAAACAAAAATAAAAGGATAAAAACCCCTAATGATAATAATAATAGTTAAAAAGGGTATCACAAGTAATAAAATCATTCACGCAAAAAACCATAATATTTATAACGAATCATTTAGCACTTGTGTATTTTGTCACAGCTTTGGTTCCTTCAGACACTGCATGTTTTGCCAATTCACCCGGAAGAATAAGTCTTACAGCCGTTTGAATCTCACGAGACGAAATGGTTGATCTTTTGTTGTAAGCTGCAAGTTTTGACGCTTCACCAGCTATTCGTTCAAAGATATCATTTACAAAAGAATTCATGATTGACATGGCCTTATTTGAAATACCAGTATCTGGATGCACTTGTTTTAAAACTTTATAAATATAGCTAGAATATGTTTCTTTTCTAGCTTTTCGTTTTTTAACTTTATTCTCAGTACTAGTTGTCGTTGCTGCTGCCTTCTTTTTTTCGCCTGATGCTGCTGCTGCTGATGCGGCTGGTCCTTTTGAAGCTGGTGCTTTGCCACCACTAGTTGCTGGTTTTTTTTCTGCTGCTTTTGGAGGCATTTTTTGATATTAAATTTTTTTTATTTATACTTGAAATTTTACTTGAAATTTTACTTGAAAGAAATAATTTAAAATATTTGAAATTATTATTATTATTATTATTATTATTATTATAAAGTCTTGATATTTAATAAAAACAAAAAAAATGAAATGAATACCTTTTATCTTTTATTTTATTTTTTGGAAAAAGTTTGGGAAAAATTAATCACACAAATCATAACCCTTTTTTATTTTTTTATATATACATAAATTATAAATTACACAAAAATAAAATAATATATTAATATATTAGTTGGCTCGAAAATTTTAGTCGCTTTCTGTCCTACTTTAAAAAAATAATAGCTCTATTAGATTAAGACTAGAGAGACCTATTCTATTAACTAATAGAGATGTTTTCTCAAAAAAAAAAAAAAGAGTACGTAGAGTTCTTTCTATTCTTTCTTTGTACATTTACATGAATTTTACTATGTTCACGAGTGTTAGGATCATTACTAAATTTAGACGATCATTATTAAATTTTTTGGGTAGCAAGATCAATGGGCCTTTTTTATTTATACCGTCATCATAATAATAAATAAATTCCCTTATAAGAAGTAAAAAACATCATTTTTTTAAGATGCATCAATCTCTCCTGGTTAACATTTCTTTAGCTGTCCCTCTATTTTGGCGGGTGTTTAGTTAGATTGATGGCGTAATTATTTGGTTTCTATTACTATTACTAATATTAATATTAAAATTTTAATTTTTTTTTATGATGAGGCCACATAACAATTTTATTCTCTATATAACGAACCATTTGGGTTAGTATCAGTATTAGTATTAATTAGGACAAAATGTCCTTTACAGAGAGGATCCGCTATAGACAATAATAATTTATATGTGGGACATATAAAATTGGATCTTGCTCTGTAACAGACTGGAGTTTAAGCCCGTGAACCACATGAGTCACACGAGAAAAATAGAATTCATCACGGAACTAACTTTTCACCGTTACCTACTAAACCAGGCCCAAAAGGGATTAAGATTTAATGCTTGGTATTCAAACATAGGTAAAATGGGGCATACTGCAACAAAACCAGACAAAGTGAACATTGGTATTACCAAGAATTTCAGGGATCAAAATTTAGTAATGTGATTATTA